CCATTGTCATCGACTGTGTCAAGCGGTTGGAGACACATTTGGAGGCATACCTACAAAAAGGCAGTCATGAGATTGAGCTCAAGAAGAATATGTCAAACCTAACGATGGATGTGATAGCTCTGTGCGCTTTCGGTACCAAAATAGACACTTATGGCGAGAAAAGGAGTGATTTCTTGACGTACGCTCAGAAGATAGTGAATCCGTCGGTCAGGGTTTGGGTCCTATTCCTCATAGTCGTACAGTTCCCCAATTTTCTCAAGTGGACAGGACTATCACTAATGGATCCTGGTGCTTGCAGATTCTTTCAAGCAGCTGTTAGTAATTCTATAAATTTTAAATTTATTCACGGTAATAACTAATAACTGATCCAGGTGCGCTCAATTATATCGAGACGTCAAGCAGATCAAGTGAAACACAACGACTATCTGCAACTTATGCTGAACGCACAGAATAAGACATTAGACACCAGTGATGAACCGGACATCGATGGAGACAAAAGTGAACAAATCTATGGACCGATCGATGCGAACAAGAATCCCATCGCAAACAAAGTCAAGATGGATGTCACCGAAGTTGATGTGTTGGCCTCGAGTTTCATATTCTTTGCGGCCGGTTATGAGACAACCGGTTCTCTCCTAACGTTCCTCTTCTATAGGTTAGCATTGAATGAGAAATGTCAACGAAGGCTATACGAGGAAGTGAGTCGTTTTGATGGCGACTATAGCTATGAAAATCTCGTAAAAATGACTTATTTGGAGGCATGTATTGCCGAGACTTTAAGGCTCTATAATCCACTCGTTTTTAATGAGAGAATAGCGGCTGAAGACTATAAATTGGGTTTGTTTTGCATACAAATTTTAATAATATAAATTAAATAATATTTTTAAACATTAGGCGACACCGGGATTACTATTCCAAAGGGTACTTTTGTGGACATTGATGTTTGGTCCATTCATCACAACCCCGAGTATTATCCAAACCCTGATCGTTGGGATCCGGAGAGGTTTATGCCGGAGAATAGGGACCAATTGGTTCCATACACTTATATGCCGTTTGGTTTGGGGCCCAGAAATTGTGTGGGAATGAGGTTTGCTTTAATGGAGGCCAAGACAGCGGCCGCCCATTTGGTCAACAAATTTGAATTCTCGAGAACAACCGACACTCCGACTGAACTCAAACCACAAAAAATGCAATTTTTACTTAATTGTGGCGAAATTAAAGTGGGAATTAAGTCGAGAAAATAAAATCAATTAATAAATTTATAATACTGACTAACTTGTAAACTAATTAAAATTAGTCCTACAATAAATGTTCTGTATGTTTAGTATTCTTGATAATCCTTTAATAGCATTTTTAAACTAATATATTAAATGATTTATTATTATACAAATAAATGTATAATATGTAATAATGTATAATGTGTAATAAATGTGTAACGTTGTAATTATAAATAAATTAAATAATTATCTCAATACATTTATTGTATGATTTCTATTAAATAATCCAATGCATAATACTGTACAGCATTATTACGGACGCCTTTTGTATTGATTTTTTAAACGTTTTACAATTACAATTTAACAATTATAAATTTGCAATTTAATACGGTATATCGCATTTTCCATTTATTAGGAAATTACAGTCATGTGTTAAATACATGAACTTTTATCCGAGAGTGATGTTTATGCAGTAATAATATTTAGTGCGATGAATAAATTTTGATAACAAAAAATACAATTGTTGTCTAGACCTTGAATTTTAGTTTGTGATAAATTGCTTTTTAAGAGCTAGCAGTTTGTCATTCAATATGGTTAAAAACTATATATAAACGAGAAATTAATAATATTTGGTTTCAAACAAAGTCAGGCTTCTAAACTTTTAGGCAGTCAGTCTAAAATTGCCTTGTACGGTATTCTTAATGTTATATTAACTTTGAATAAATTAATCCAATTTATTTAAAAATGTTTTTCGACTTACAAACATTGGTATTAGTCAGTGCGTTTTTGGTGTTAATTTATTAGTGAGTAGTTTTGTAATTTAATAAAAATTTTATAATTTTATCAAACTAATTTCAATTTACATAAAACAACTAATGCTTATTTAAATTTTTATTAATATAATTAGTTATTTAACCAAAAATTTCAACTTCTGGAGCTCTCGTGGAGTGAATGGCCCGAAACCTGTGGTGCTTTTCGGCACATTTTATCAAAACTTTTTCAAGTCGATGCAAGATGTTGCCCTGGACAATAGTCGCAAATATGGAAAGATATATGGGTTGGTAAACTTTAACTTATTTCAACAATTAATTTATATTAATTTAAGAATTGTTATTCATGTTTAGCGGCTTTTTTGGTTCAAAACCATTTCTAATGATATCAGACCCACAACTCGTAAAAGAGATGAATATCAGAGACTTCCATATATTCGCGGATAGGGATGATTTGGTGACCGGGGATCAACTAAACGACAGGTCATTATTTAATTTGAAAGGAGACGAGTGGAAGGGTATGCGATCCATTGTGAGTTCATTGTAAACTAAATATTTATATATTAATAACTAAACAAAATGTAATGTCAATAGATTAGTCCAACCTTTTCGAGTGGCAAAATGCGATCAATGCATCCCATTGTCATCGACTGTGTCAAGCGGTTGGAGACACATTTGGAGGCATACCTAC